TAGTAAAAATGCAAAGCCAAGTTACTAGGAATATTGTTGAAAAATATATTATATTAGGAGCCTGGTTTTCTCACAGTGAAGCTCTTCTAACCACTTTGCTTTGTAGCTCTATAGTGGAAGAACGGATTTTTGCAGTATATCGTATTCTGCAGATTAGAAGAGGTTTTGACAAAGGAGAAACATCTGTCCGAGAAAAGACTCATTCTTCTTTTTTAAACATAGATGCTAAGAATCTTACTGAGTTATGTTCTTGGACTCATAATGTATTTGAGCCGATTCAAACATGTAGTTTTTCTACTGAGACAATAGTTGATTTTAAGGTGAATCCCATGGTTGTTGATTCCATACCATGCCACACACAGAGTATTGAGCGGGCTGTTAAACAAACAACAAGAGCTTGTGCTGCTGTCTATGGACACGATTCAAGAGATGGTTTTATTCGAGCAGGCTGCCATCACCGTAAACTTTTACCTAAAAATAATACCAAAAAGAACCTAAAACAGATGATTATATAATTTTTATATTTTTAATATGAGTGTATATATTCTTTACTTATTGGATCTTCACAAATTTATATTTTTTTATTTATACTAAATGGGGTCCATAACCAATAAAGAGCTCATTTTGCAGGTCTACTCTTTGTATAGTTTTTTTCTATTTTTGGAATGGGTTATGCCAAAAATTTTGATATATTATACCCACCCTATATGTGGCAAATAAGGATCTAGACTTAGTCTTAAAACTCAATTCCCCCCCCCCCCCGACCGCCCCTCCTCATTTAAAAAGTCTCTGATAAACTTTTTTTTTTTTTTTTTAACTATTGTTTTGAAATAGATAAAAATTTAATAGCAGTTTTTAAATTTTGACAAAAATATGATGTGTTTAAAAGTTATGACTATTTATTGTTAATAACTCCCCCATTTACCCCATTTTGGTAATTTATTTTGAAGTTATGAAAAAAAAATTTTAACAGTATATCTTAAAATGTCTATAGACATCTGAAAATAATATTTAAATTTTCAATTTTGAAAAAAAAGTTTTTTCACTACACCCTAATGTTGACTGCATTGGCCAGATAATGCACCTTTTGAAAGCAAATATGGGAAGCAACGGCCTTTAAATCCACTATCTGTTTTTAAAAATATACCAACTAGTTGTTTACCCATACCAGCAAGTAAAGTTAAAAAAACTGTAACTTCAAGCGGTTTTCGAAACATTCTACCAGATGAGTTAAGTGATTTTCTAAAAGAGGATGAACTTATATTTGGCGATATTCAATCTTTGTTAAGTGATAATAACGATGTTATTGTTTTCCAGCTTAATAAAAAAAGTTTACACATACAATCAAAAATGTTCAAACTTAGTGTTCTATTATTTATTTTAGAAATTTTCGATGATTATTCATTTGTAGCTTACCATAATGGCACAAATTGTAATATTTCATTTTTAACTGTAAACAAATTAAAGTTAATAAAAACAAAATCAGCTTTATTTGAAGCAGTTAGATTTTTAAAAAATAAAGAAAGTTCGCATCAGTCAAATATTTTATTTGAGCACCTTAATGCTATGAGAAAAGTTAATGTTGGTGAAGTTTTACATACTCCAGATATTATATGTAGAGCATATGAGTATTTTGCTATGCGACGAAGTTTATATGATCGTTTATGTATTGACTAAAAGTTGCCAAGTATACGGACTTTAACACGATTGACTTCAAAAATAAGCTCAATGGAGGACCTAAATTTTGTAAATAGTATTTTTATGAATTTAGATCCATTGAAAAGAACTTCCATACTACTAATTGATGAGGTTTATGTTAAAGCATCATTACTTTACCAAAGAGGTGCTTTGTTTGGTCAAGCAGTAAACTACCCTGAAAAGTTAGCTAAAACAATTTTATCATTTATGATTAAATGTCTTTTTGGTGGTCCAGAATTTATATGTAGAGCTCAACCTGTTGCAAATCTTTCTTCTGAATTTCAATTTACTCAATGTCAACAAATTGTTGATACAATAAATAATATTGAAAATAGTAAAACACTGGCAATAATTACTGATGGTATCCGTGTAAATCAAAGGTTTTTCGAAATGTTTGAAACAGTTGATAATAAACCATGGTTAACAACATCAGGTATATATTTATTGTATGATTATGCGCATCTCTTGAAATCTATACGAAACAATTGGTTAACAGAAAAGACTGGTCTGCTTCAATTTTTGAACGATGGAGAACTAGCTTTGGCTAAATGGAATGATTTAGAAACTTTATATAAAACTGAGTGCAATAGTCTTTTTAAACTCTCTAAACTTACAGCTAAATCAGTTATCCAAAACCAATAGAGAGACAATCTGTAAAGTTTTGTTTGTCTGTTTTTTGCGAAGAAACAGTAGCTGCATTAAGAACACATCCAGAAATTGAAAATAAAGCATTTGAAGGTACTGCTGTATTTACTGAAAAAATTATTTCTTTTTGGAATGTTGTAAATGTCAAAGCACCTGG